TCTAACCACAGTCACGCAGTGGCGCCACAATCCCGTGGACGGCTGCCACGCTTGTGCTGCTCGCTGGCATCTAGAATACGAACTTCAGCAATTATACACCAATTAACCACCAATTATCTGTTCTGTAATAACGGTTTTGCCATTCTCAATGAGACATTTCACAGCAGACAATTGGTTCCTCAAAAGTGACAAAAGAAAATGGTGAGAATCTTTTAGAAATGACTTTGGCATAAAACAAAATAATGATATTAAAATCTAGGCTATCAAGTTACATTTATTTATTTTTGTATTTTTCCTTCAATATATTATACACACATTCACATAATAAAAAAATTTATATATATATATATATATCTTATATTTATTGGTGTAATTTTTATAACAATGTAAAATTACACTGATTACAAAATAAATTGTTACATTTTATATATTAAAATGAAAACATTGAGAAAATAAAAATCTATGTATTTTAAGTATATAATTACAATATAGTTTGCTGTAATTTTAATATTTTACATTTAAAATTGAATTAATAATTTGTATCCATGTATGTATATGTATATATATATATATATATATATATATATGTGTGTGTGTGTGTGTGTGTGTGTGTAAAATAGCAATTATAAATTAAAGGGGTCATATCGCACAATTAGCTTGTAACACTCCAAAGAGAAAGGAAAACTTGAAATCGCATAATATAACCCCTTTAAATATAATATATAAAATTCTATAATACATAATGTATATTAAACAAGTATAATTGTTGAATATATATAGTATGTATTAATTAGAATTGTATATTTATATGTAATATATAAGCAAAATTACATCAATTATATAATATAAAATATAAATAATTATATATAAATTAATGTTATATTTAATATAATTTATGTAATACATACTGTATATTAAACAATTCTACATCAATTATATAACAATCTAAAATTATATTAAAATTAAACTTAAAAATAAAATAAGATACAAAATATGACATTTCTGAGTAAAAAAAAAAAAAAGGGTATTCAAATCTAGACTAGGACTTTAAATTAATTGGATTGTGTAAAGTGGGTGTACAAAAAAGTCAGCCAACAAGGAAAGTTGTTTTTAGAGGGGGAGCAAGTGAAAGATTATGAAGACAAACATATTTTCCCCTGTGGAATAACATGCACAATCGTTCACAATAAGACCAGGAATGCATATTAAGAAAGTAAAGAGGGTCAGTCTGGTGTGCACTATTTTTGGCTTGAATACACATTTCTTGGCCTCAAACGGATGGCGAACACTTTCAGTTCAGCAGTCCAAACACATGATATTAAATTGGTCAGCTGCCCTGCCTAAATATGACATCTTTCAAACCCCAAAATGCTGCTGTGCTTCTGTTTTTCACATCAAGGCTTCCCCCTCAGACCCCACCAGACCACCAGCACCCGAACACAAACCACATGAGGGAGCGGAACCGGCCTGTAACCAGGAAGAACAGGGAGGCTGTTTATTTCTGGTGCATCTCTACTGAATGACTCACACACTGGCTGGAAAAGCGGTCCAGTCTCCAACAGCTGAGCATGTGCCAGCTCCAAAGGCATATAACTTGTGCCGCTTCACCCCCGTCTCAATCGCAACGCTCGTCATCTGCCTATTTTCTCCCGCCTTTAATCCCCCAGTAATCATCAGATGCAGCGTTTTACAATCAACATTGGATCTGACCTTGAGCAGGTTTAGAAAAGGCCAGATACATTAGTGGATGGGTACGAGGCCGGGCCAGGGAGAGAGAGCGATTCAGTAGAAGTGGGCGGCTCTCAGCAAACACACATTCGTCGTCCCTATTATAGAAGACAGCAGGTCCAAACAAGCACTGCTCATTCAAAGCCTAAAAAGCAAAACAAATCTGCATTAATAGTAATATCATTAGGAATGTGAAAAGCACTTCAAATATGAGGACTGGGTCAAAGTATTATTCCAAATATCTAGCTACTGGCAGTGAAAAGTTTGAAATAATTATGTTTTTTTTTTTTTATGTTTATGAAACAAGAAAAATTCAGTAGAAATTGTAATATTGTGAAATATATTTATGATTTAAACTAACCGTTTTCTTTTTGGATACGTTTTAAAATGTAATTTATTCCTGTGATGCAAAGCTGAATTTTCAGCGTCAGTGCAGTCTTCAGTGTCACATGATTCTTCAGAAATCATTCAAATATGCCGATTTGCCACCTTATTAATATGAATGTTGAAAACAGTTTTAGTTGAATACTAGTCACACAGTTTACTGTAAAAATACTAGGAGAATTACATTTGCAAATATAATACATGAAGCTGTAATTACTAGAATAAACAGCAAGTTATTCACACCTAATACAGTACATGAATACATTTATGTTAATCTTGCAACAAGACAGCGCCTCCACTTTCTATGCTCAAAGTAGTAACATACTATGCACATGGAATATGTGATTCAAGGACATCTGACGGACATCACCTACACTGCAACTGTGACATGGAAATAAATGAGAAGGGGGAAAAATTTTGAAATATTTCCAGTTATCATGTGGTGGACTCAACTACAAACGAAGTAACTATTTGTCTGAGTGGGAACACAGATAAACACTTTTTCCCCATCAACATTTGCCCATAAAACAATTCAGCCGCAGTAGCAGAAAAAGCAGAAAGAGAGTTAAAAAATGTGGGGTCAGTAAGATTTTCAAAAATAAATAAATAAAATTATATATATAGCGATTAATCACATCCAAAATAAAAGTTTTGTTTACATAATATATGTATGTGTACTGTGTATATTTATTATGCAGATATAAATGCACACACACAGTATATATTTAGTATATAGTATATAAAAATTCTATATTTTTCTTAAATATATAACATGAATGTGTTTGTATTTATAAATACACACGTTATTGTAAACAAAAACTTATTTTGGATGCGATTATCACAATTGATAGCACTAATATATATATCAAGGAATCCTAAATTATCTATTATATAAATGTTTCTTGAGCAGAAAATCCGCATATTAGAATGATTTCTGAAGGATCATGTGACACTGAAGTAACGATGCTGAAAATTCAGCTTTGCCATTACAGAAATAAATTACAGTTTAAAATATTTTAAGATAGAAAACAGACCTTTTAAATTGTAATAATATGTCTGTTTTTCTATAGTTTTGAATGGTAGTGTGCCTTTTTATTATTTAGCAAACTTTTAGCTAATTTCGCAACAACAAAAAAAGAGAAAAATATATATATTTTTTTTTTAATACCCTAGTGGTTTTCATAGAACCAAGTGCTAAAAAAAAGGACAAAAATAGGATATCTTTGGTAGACTAAAAGATTACCAAAAATAGTAGCCTGAACAAATCTTCAAGCATGAGATTTTGCTATTTTGTATATTTTTTGAGTTCAATTGAGAATGTTGAGAAGGAGAGATTAGTATTGATGAGATGCTTTTTACTAGTGCTGTCAATTGATTAATTGCAATTAATCACATACAAAAACGTTTTTGTTTACATAATATATTCCTGTGGCTCAGTGGTAGAGCATTGCGTAAACAGCTCAAAAGGTCGTGGGTTCGATTCCCAGGGAACACACATACTGGTAAAAAATGTATAGCCTGAATGCATTAAGTCGCTTTGGATAAAAGCGTCTGCTAAATGCATAAATTATTATTACATTTAGTCATTTAGCAGACGCTTTTATCCAAAGCGACTTACAAATGAGGACAATGGAAGCAATCAAAATCAACAAAAGAGCAATTATATTCAAGTGTATAACAAGTCTCAGTTAGATTAACGCAGTACACATAGCAAGGTTTTTTTTTTTAAATGATATAATAAATAAAAAGAAAAACAGATAGAATAGAAAAAGAATAGCGCAAACTAGTGTTAGAGGCCTTTTTTGCTTTTGATAATTGTATAATAAATAAAAAGAAAACAGATAATACAAAAAGATTTGCTAGTGTTAGTTTTTTTTATTTTTTATAAATAGAGTTAGAATGGAGAGTGCGAGAGTTAGAGGGTCAAAAAAAGATGGAAGAGATGTGTTTTTAGCCGATTCTTGAAGATGGCTAAGGACTCAGCTATTCGGATTGAGTTGGGCAGGTCATTCCACCAGGAGGGAACATTTCATTTAAAAGTCTGTGAAAGTGATTTTGTGCCTCTTTGGGATGGCACAATAAAGCAACGTTCACTTGCAGAACGCAAGCTTCTAGAGGGCACATAAGTCTGAAGTAATGAATTTAGGTAAAGGGGTGCAGAGCCAGTGGGGGTTTTGTAGGCAAACATTAATGCCTTGAATTTTATGCGAGCAGCTATTGGTAGCCAGTGCAAATTGATAAACAGAGGTGTGACATGCATTATTTTTGGCTCATTAAAAATGAATCTTGCTGCCGCATTCTGGATTAATTGTAAAGGTTTTATTGAACTGCCAAGAGAGCATTGCAATAGTCCAGAGCTTGGACAGAACAAGAGCTTGAACAAGGAGTTGTGAAGCATGTTCTGAAAGAAAGGGCCTGATCTTCTTGATGTTGAATAAAGCAAATCTGCAGGACCAAGCAGTTTTAGGAATGTGGTCTGAGAAAGTCAGCTGATCATCAATCATAACTCCAAGGTTTCTGGCTGTTTTTGAAGCAGTTATGGTTGATGTGCCTAATTTGATGGTGAAATTGTGATGAAATGATGGGTTTGATGGAACCACAAGTAGTTCTGTCTTGGCAAGGTTGAGTTGAAGGTGATGGTCCTTCATCCAGCAAGAAATGTATGTTAGACAAGCTGAGATGCGAGCAGCTATTGTAGGATCGTCAGGATGGAATGAAAGGTAGCGTTGAGTGTCATCAGGATAGCAGTGATATGAAAAGCCATGTTTCTGAATGACAGAACCTAGTGATGCCATGTAGACAGAGAAGAGAAGTGGTCCAAGAACTGAGCCCTGAGGCACCCCAGTAGTTAGATGTTGTGACTTGGACACCTCACCTCTCCAAGATACCTTGAAGGACCTATCTGAGAGGTAAGACTTAAACCACTGGAGTGCGGTTCCTGAGATGCCCTTTGCCAATAGGGTTGACAGGAGGATCTGGTGGTTAACCATGTCAAAAGCAGCGGACAGATCCAGCAAGATAAGTATTGAAGATTTGGAATCCACTCTTGCCTTAGTCCTAGGGCTTCAACAACTGAGAGCAAGGCAGTCTCAGTTGAATGTAGGGATGCAGCGATTAACCGGTTTCGCGATTAACCTCGCTTTAAAACGTGACGGTTAATTAATCGTAAAGGTTCCGCTAAACCGAGTGTTTCTGTTACACAGAACGGAACTGTTGCAGCTTGCGCAAAACGAAAAAAGTTACACTAGCGGTGCACCAGCTTAAAATGACGTGAGAGGCACGGAGACTACTACATGCATTAGATGAACTGACAGAGGGACCAAACAGCGAAGCTTTATTTCACCAGAGAAATGCTTGTCGATAGTGTGGGACCATTTTGGGTACACCAAGAATGACCAGGGTGACGTGCTTATCAGAGGCATGGAGGCTACTACATATATTAGATTAACTGTGACAGAGGGGCCAAACAGCGAAGCTTTATTTCCACCAGAGAAACGCTTGTCGATAGTGTGGGACCATTTTGGGTACACCAAGAATGACCAGGGTGTCATTTAAATATTGCTGTAAAAAAACTGCTGCTAAAGAGCAAATACATAAGCGATAATGCACGGCTTGCTGTAGATTGAACGATTTTAATGCACGACGTGAAGGCAAGAACCACCTGACGCGAAGCTACAGCTCGTTAGCTCCACATTCTGCCCACTTCATATCAGAAAGAGATGAAATAGTGCGGTAAGATCACATTTATTTGAATTAATTAATTATAACATTTAGCTACTTGAATTAATTATTCGAGAGAGAGAGGTGACAGTTGCCTGTGTGAATTAGCCTACCTGTGTCTGTGCATCTCTCCAGTAGGCTATTTAATCTATTTTATTAATAAAAGTCACGGGGCAGCATTCTCAAGAAGTTTGTGTCCTCCTGAATATTTGTACACGTGTGCAGCGCGATCTCCGATCTCGCAAACCAAAATAATAAACATAATTTTCTCAGGCCACATGTAAAATCACATGAATTATTATAAAGATTATTAAAATGAATAGGCTACGTATGGATGACAGTTGATTACAATATTTCAGTTTATTTCCATCATTAGTAACAGTTTCCCCTGTGGGACAAATACAGTTAATATTAGTCGTATATTAATAATAGGCTACTTCATTAACTTTGTTATTTACTATCCCTGTTGTAGTATTATTCATAAGTAAAAACCAACAATATTTTTTTTTCACCATGTTTCCAAATTCTCTACCCCAGGTCCAAAAGAAATGTAAAGAATGTACAAACTGAAAACATTAAATACTTTTGCGATCCATTTCCATTTGTTATTTTCAAAAGAGAAATACTGTCATGGATGTTTACAGAGCAGAGGTCACCTTTTTTAATTCCAATGGGAGAGATGGACTTTTGTTTGTCTTTTTTATTATTATTTTGTGCTGTATTTTTGGTTACTGTGTTATTTCTGTTTCAAAAGCCAGCAATAAAAAACACTTTAATATCTAAAGAGTGTTCATGTGATTTTATACATTAGTAATGTTGGGAAATGAATAAATGCATTATAATCGTAAAACCGTGATTATTCCTCAGACAATAATCGTACCAACAAAATCTACAATCGTTGCATCCCTAGTTGAATGTCCACTTCTGAAACCAGACTGATTGCTGTCGAGTGTTCTCTGTGAGAAAGGCAGATACTTGGTTGAACACAGCTCGTTCGAGTGTTTTTGCAATGAAAGGAAGAAGGGAAACCGGTCTGTAGTTCTCAAAAGAGATGGGTTAAGGGTGGGTTTCTTAAGTAGTTATACGAGCCTGTCTAAATGCTGAGGGGAAAACACCAATGTGAAGGGATATGTTAACGATGTGAGTGAGTGCAGGTACAACTACAGGAGAAATGGCTTGAAGAAGATGAGATGGAATAGAATCAAGCGAACAAGTAGTAGGATGATTAGAAAGGATGAGTTTGGAGACTTCTGCTTAAGAGAAGGATGTGAATGAGTGTATGTTTGCTGGTAAGATGTGCCTGACAGATTTTGGTGTGGAAAATTGTGCACTGATGGTTTTAATTGTATTAATGAAGAACATGGCAAAGTCGTCAGCTGTTAAGAGTTGAAGGAGGGGGAGGAGGAGGACAAAGGAGCGAGGAAAATGTTTTATAGAGCATGCGGGAGTTAGACGAATTGTTAATTTTATTATGATAGTATGTCTTTTTAGCAGTGGAGACATTAGCAGAGAAGGAAGAGAGGAGTGACTGATACATATTAAGGTCAGTAGGATTTTTTTATTTGTGCCACACCCTTTCAGCAGCCCTAAGCTTAGAACAATGTTCACGGAGAACATCAGACAGCCAAGGGGCAGAAGGGGTGGTACGGCCTGGCCTGGAAGACAAGGGCAAGACAGTCTAAACAAGATGTAAGAGTGGAGCAGAAAGTATCAGTAGCACTGTAAGCATCAAGAGATGCTAATTGTTTAGGGGGAGGAAGCGAAGATGAAACCATAGCAGATAGCCAGGAGGGTGAGAGTGAGTGTAGGTTATGTCGAAAGATGACATGTGGATGGGTATGTGTTGTGTCAGGAACCATGATGAGGTTAAGAGTGAGGAGGAAGTGATCCGAGGTGTGCAGTGGAGTAATGAGCACATGATCAGTGGAGCAGTGTAGTGTGTGAATAAGGTCCAGTTGGTTGCCTGATTTGTGAGTAGACGTAGTTAACACTCTCTTGAGATCAAAAGAGGTAAGCAGAGTGTGGAAGTCTGCAGCCTGTGGTTTATCTAGGTGGATGTTTAAGTCTCCAAGCATAACTAGGGGAGTACCATCCTCGGGACAGGTTGTGAGCAGCACATATATGTGTATATATATATATATATATACACACACACACACACATGTATGTGTACTGTGTATATAAATACACACACATACTGTATATATTTTACAAATATTTACATGTATATACATTTATATTTTTATATTTTATATTATATATAAATATATTTAATATATAAGCATAACTTATTTTTCTTAAATACATACATGCATGTGTTTGTATTGATATTTACATAATAAATATACACAGTATACACACATATATTATGTAAACAAAAACTTTTATTTTGGATGCGATTGATCGTTTGACAGCACTACATTTGACCCATTTTGGACATCGGATTCAAATCATCAAACAAGTAGACATTCAGACACCTGAAACTGAGTCTATTCTCGTTATCTAACATCATAAACCTGGTTGTTGATTATCTCATCGACTTTTATGTAGCCTGCTGTAGGTGCTAATAAGCAGCGCACCTGGAAATACTCTAGGGTTTCAACTCCTGCCAACCAACATAAGACTGTATTCCCTCAACAACCAAACCAACCAACAAAAGTGAAGATGTAGCTGTGACAGTCTCACAGATTCCCAGTGAAGTCAGCTCTCGTTGCCCCCGTGGGCAAAGGCCAGTTCATGGGAACGGCTGAGGTGACAGATCCCGGCATCTCTTCCCATAGAGCTCAGGGACAGAAGACATCCCTTATCCTGACCCACAGCCTGTTAGACATGATGAGCTGCTATCGGCAATCATGTGACCCTCTGCGGACCAATCAGAGCCAAAGAAAACCCTTAAACTCTGGAGGTCACGGAAAACCTCGCCCTGAGGTCCAGAGTTACTTGCTCAGCATAATACAAGCAACGCATAACAAGGAAGACAGACATCACAGGGCCAAAATGTCGCCCTCAAAAATGCAGTTTTATTCACTGGAGAAATTTGTGGCGTGTCTAAAACGGATGAGCTTGTGTTCGAGCGATAGTAATTGGATCGTATACACTCTATAAATAAACTTAAAATGGATGGATACGCCAGTCTTTTTAACAAACGGTTCCCTCCAAGTTTAAATTACCATGTGTGGGGGAAACGTCTTAGAAGGTTTTGAAATGTGTACGAGTAGGCCATGATCGTGTGGCTTCAACTTAAGATACACCAAAGTTAAATATGCTCCAAATTACAGTCGTTACGGGACCCTCAAAGCCAAAATTAGAGGGCGAACGCCTAGGCAGTACTATTGCCTTCTTTATTGAATGACTGCTCTGTATAATTAGCAAAGCAAACTAATCCATCTGATCGCAACCATCTGAGAGCATTGTACCGCGATTCAGATGTCGTCTCACAACAGCGGCTGATCTACGATCAACCTGTAGTTTTGTCACAAGAGAACGTTGATGTCCGTCTGTGGTCCACTCAGGGTTTTTGGAAACATTCAACTGACAGAGAATCCTGTCTCTGGAGACTCTTTGGACAACTGAGACGGAAGCCATTACTGCCACTACGGCCTGACTGTAATGAAAGAATGACCTTTAACCTCGCTTTTCCCTCATCTAAAGCACGGCAGTGATTTTCAGTGTATCGTATTACGACATTTGACCACATTTCGCCATCAGATTTCAGCTCTAGATGAACTTTAGTTACAGTTTTTGGTGCTATTTATAAGCACTGGTCTTAAAATATCTCAGAAATGTTTTTTCCATGCGTGATTTCAGGAACCTTTATATATACACAGACAAAATAGAGAGAAAATAGTAAAACTAAATGAATAAAAATAAATTATATATATATATATATGTATATATATATATATAATTGCAATTATTCATCTAAAAATTGTTCAAACCTTGTAGCAGTACTCCAGGTTTTCTGAAGTCATATTAAAACTATATTTGAGGAATCAAAATCACTGAAAACCATAGTTCACAAATATCATTCATGCTTATTTATATTCAACTTTTATTAGTACATTAAGGCTTTTTGTGCCTGGATTAATGTCCATTAATGATGCACGAATGAAGAATGCATTTATATAAAAAAAATAAATAATTATATTTCAATCCAGTAAAATATACTGTAATGTGTGTAGG